TTCCCTTTTAAACGGATGCTTTAGTGCCGAACCGATTAAATGGCTATTTTCGGAACTCAAATGCAAAATCCAACATGAAGAAAATAGCACTCCTCCTATTGCTGCTTAGCACAGCAGCACTTAATGCACAAGATAAAGTAATGACCCCTAAGCTACTTTGGGAGCTGGGACGCATAAGTCTTGAAACGGTTTCACCGGACGGTAAGAGTATGGTGTACGGAGTAACCAATTATGATATTGAAGCCAATAAAGGGAATCGCAACCTGTATTACATGAGCCTGGATGGGCTTAACCGTAAACAGATTACTGATATGCCCGGCAGTGAATACGGAGCCTTTTACCTGAAAGGTGGTTCTATGATCGGGTTTTCGCACGGAGGGCAATTTCATATTATGAAGCCCGATGGTTCGGATAAAAAGCAAATCACCGATATTGAAGGGATCGGCAACATTAAGGCTTATGATCTGCCCGATGGACGCATTGCTCTTCTCTTTACGAAAAGCGTAAAGCTGGATCAAACCACCGCTGACCTTTACCCGGAACTTCCCAAAGCCGAGGCCTATATAATTGACGATTTGATGTACCGCCACTGGGACCACTGGAGTGATGCAGAGTACAATCATATCTGCATAGCGTATATCGAAAAGGATATGCAACAGGTAACCGATTTTAAAGACCTGATGGAAGGTGAAAAGTTTGACACCCCTCTGAATCCTTTTGGTGGCAGTGAGTCCTTTACCCTTAGCCCCGATGGTAAAACCGTGGTTTATGAAGCTAAAAAACTAAATGGTAAGGATTGGGCGGTGAGCACCAACTCCGAATTGTACCAGGTAGATCTTGCCACCGGCAAAACCACCAATCTTACTAAAGGTATGATGGGTTATGATAAAGAACCTAAATTTTCTCCTGACGGTAGTAAGCTGGCCTGGATGAGCATGAAAACACCGGGCTATGAAAGTGATGTGAATGACATTATTATTCATGATCTGAAGAGTGGAGAACAAATGCACGTATTGGTATCAGCCAATCTATACGATGCTTTTACCTTTCATTCATACACCTGGGCTGATGAAAGAACGCTGTATGCCGGTGTGCCTGCCGGAGGCAGTAACCAAATTTTTAAAGTTGAATTACCCAAAAGAATTGCCTCCAGCGGAGCTAAAGCCAATCTGAAAGTAATCACCAAAGGTGATTACAATCACAATCATTTTGAAGTAGCGGGCAAATCACTGATCCTGGATCGCCAGGATATGAATCATGCTACTGAGATTTATAGATTAAACCCCTCTAACGGGGAGGCTATAGCTCTTACGCATGAGAATGACAACATCTACAACACCCTTAAGGTTAGTAAAGTAGAAAAGCGGATGGTACCTGCTTCCGATGGAAAAGAAATGCTGGCATGGGTTATTTACCCACCTGATTTTGATCCGGCTAAAAAATATCCCGCTTTATTGTATTGCCAGGGAGGACCCCAATCACAGGTATCACAGTTTTACAGCTTTCGCTGGAACTTTCAGCTTATGGCTGCACAAGGCTATAGTTATAGCGCCTAACCGCAGAGGTCTGCCGGGCTTTGGACGCGAATGGAATGAAGATATTTCTGGTGACTGGGGCGGACAAGCGATGCGGGATTACCTGGCAGCTATTGATGATATAAAAAAAGAGCCATTTGTAGATGAAACCAAATTAGGTTGTGTAGGTGCCAGTTACGGTGGTTATTCCGTGTATTACCTGGCTGGTATTCATGAAAAAAGGTTTAAGGCCTTTATTTCACATTGTGGGCTCTTTGACCTGGAGAGCTGGTATCTTTCAACCGAAGAGTTGTTTTTTGCCAATCAGGATCTGGGTGGCCCGTTCTGGCTTCCGGAAAACAAGAAGACTTACGCCACTTTTGACCCAAAAGATTATGTGCAAAACTGGGATACACCATTGCTCGTTATTCATGGCGGAAAAGACTTTAGGGTACCTGAAAACCAAGGCATGGAAGCTTTTCAGGCTGCCAAATTAATGGGTGTGCCGGCTAAGTTTCTCTACTTTCCGAATGAAGGGCACTGGATACTTAGCCCCCAAAATGGTTTGATATGGCACGACCAATTCTTCGGATGGCTCGATAAATGGCTGAAATAAGTGCTTTTATTGCCCTACTTTTGCCGATCAATTGTAACTAATTAAGGCACAATGAGAATAGGGAGCCCTGCATCACGACTTAAACTGGATATTAAACCTGACGATCGTGTGTTGGATATTGGCAGTGGTGACTTTCCGCACCCCAGAGCTAACGTATGCGTAGATAAATATGTATCCGACAACACCCACCGTTCCTCTGACATTAAGGTTTTATCCCATCAAACTTTTATGCAGGCCGATGGGAAAACCTTCCGTTTGAGGATGATGAGTTTGATTATGTGATATGTGAGCAGGTTCTGGAACATGTGGAAAACCCGGCCCGTTTTATACAGGAGATGAGCCGTGTAGCTAAAAAAGGCTACCTGGAAACACCCTCTTTAATCGGTGAGTACCTCATTCCTAAAAAATCACACAAGTGGGTTTTATTGGATATTGACGGTGTAGTGGTCATGTTTGAAAAGGAAAAACTGGGCTTGAATGACAGTATCGATTTTGGAGAGTTATTCCTTAACTATTTTCCCCGCCAGTCCATTGGCTGGAAAATTATTCAGCGCACCCATCATCAGGCTCTTACCATGAGTTATGAGTGGAAGGATAAGATAGAGTTTTTGATAAACCCGGAAGACGAAAGGATGATCAATTACTTTAAAAAGCCCTGGACACTGGATATGGTTAATAATGTAATGCCACAGCGCAGTTTGCAGCGGGAAGCTTCTATGGCCGTTAGTGCCTTTGTAGATATTACACAGAGCATTTTTAAATCGCGCGTTCTTAAGAAAAAGCGCTAGGAGAAGCCCGATCAAGCAATATATGAAGAAGGAATTTGAGGTTTTTGAGTTGCCCAATGGTATTCGCTTTGTACATCGTTACGTAAACCGCCCGGTAGGCCATTGCGGATTAATGATACAGGCCGGCAGCCGGGATGAAATCCCGGAAACAGAAGGCCTGGCACATTTCATAGAACACATTTTATTTAAAGGCACCCGAAAACGAAAAGCCTTTCACATTCTCAGCCGCATGGAAGATGTAGGCGGAGAACTCAATGCCTATACCTCTAAAGAAGACACCGTTATTTATGCCTCTTTTTTAGGCAATGATTACCAAAGGGCCATTGAATTGATATTTGACATCGGCTTCCACTCCACCTTTCCTGAAAAGGAACTGGTAAAGGAAAAAGAGGTTATTATTGACGAGATAAACAGCTATAAGGACAGTCCTTCAGAATTGATATTTGATGATTATGAAGCCCAGCTTTTTCCGAACCACTCGCTGGGAATGAACATACTGGGCACTCCTGAAACGGTGCGAAGTTTTAAACGCCAGGATGTACTAAACTTTTTGGATAGTGCCTACGGTACACAGCAAATGGTATTCAGTTACGTAGGCCATATTCAAGCGCCCCGTATACTGGCTTTCCTGCAAAAAATTACGGAGGATATTCCGGCCCGCTCCGGCACTGTACCAAGAAGCGCACCTCACTCCTACCAACCAAGCCGGGTAGAAAGTACGAGGCCTGTATTTCAAAACCATGTAATTACCGGCAACCGCGCCTATGCAGCCGGAGATGAAAAATCACGCACCCTCCATTTGCTGAACAACCTGTTGGGTGGTCCCGGTATGAACTCCAGGCTTAACCTCAACATCCGGGAGAAATACGGTTTCACCTATAACATTGAATCTTTTTACACGCCCTATTCAGATACGGGCGTTTTTGGCATTTATGCCGGAACAGACCCCGCTACCATAGGAAGAACCTTAAAGCTGATTGAAAAAGAGCTGCGCAAGCTGCGGGAGAAAAAGCTGGGCACTATACAGCTCAGCAAGGCCAAGCGCCAGATACTGGGACAAATTGCCATGGCCCAGGAAAACAATGTGTCTCTAATGCTGGCTTTAGGTAAATCACTGCTTACCTTTGATCGTATTGATACCTTTGACGAGGTACGTGAAAAAATTGAAAACATTACCGCTGAGGACCTGATTGAAGTGGCCAATGAAATACTGGCTCCTGAACAACTCAGCACACTGATCTATAAACCCGCATAGTCATGGAATTTTTACCGGAAAAACTCGAACAGTACGTAGAAGATCATACCACTCCTGAATCAGAAGTATTACAGGAGCTGAATCGCGAAACCTGGAGCAAAGTGCTTCAACCGCGTATGCTAAGCGGCCACCTTCAGGGGCGCGTACTTTCCATGTTCTCCAAAATGATCCAACCCAAACGCATCCTCGAGATAGGAACCTACACAGGCTATTCCGCGCTATGCCTGGCCGAAGGTCTGCAGGAAGAAGGAAAACTGCATACCATTGATATCAATGAAGAGCTGGAAGATATGGTGAACAGCTATATTGAAAAAGCCGGTTATTCCGATCGTATTCAGATGCACGTGGGTGACGCTACGCAGATCATTCCTGCCCTTAATGAAAGCTGGGACATTGTTTTTATTGATGCGGATAAGGAAAACTATTCCAATTACTTTGACCTCACCATTGATCACCTGCGCCCGGGTGGTTACATTATTGCCGATAACGTTTTGTGGAGCGGCAAGGTGATCCAGAAAGTTGACCCGAAGGATGAGGAGACCCAAGCACTTATGGCTTTCAATGAAAAGGTTCTGAAAGACGACAGAGTGGAAAATGCACTTTTCCCGGTACGTGATGGGTTGATGGTGTGTAGGAAGAGGTAAGCTTATTCTCTCTCTGGGCGAAGATCAGTTCTATAAAACGCAGAACCAGAATAAGGCTTGGTTAATGCTTCTTTGCTAAGACTCCACGAAAAACATTATTGCCCTCTGGCCACATCATATATTCTCAGAAGCAACTTAGATTCTGATTGGCCCCGCCAGAGATAGTTTAAAAAGAAACTATGATTAATGATTGAATAAATCCACACTAATTCCTGCCATCGGAGCGGGGATCAGGTAGGCTATCTCATCGCGATTATTGTACTGATACACCAACGGCAACTCTGCATTAAGATTAAGCCAGGCATTGAACTCATAGTTCAGGCCCGCCTGAAAGGCCAGTGCATAACCATTATCTGCACCTGGATTGTCCCAGCTTCGGAAACCGTAGATCGGTGTAATTCCAAAATAAGGTTTCACACCTAAATTCTCTTTATTCAGATAAGCTATTACTGACAATGCCATGGCATGTCCGTTAACCTCTGTAGTGTTTTCATTAAAGTAAGACGACTGCAAACCAAAACCGTACTTAGGCATAATACCGTAAGTGAAAAGGCCTTCACCTTTACCAAAGGTATAAAGGGCACTAAAGGCATAGCCTCCTCTTTCCCAAAAGCGATCCGGGCTAAGATCCACCCAACCTTCTGCCTGCAGCATAAGGTTACCCGTTAAGCCTGCGCGCACAGAGGCTGCGCCTGCTGGTGAAAGGATTTGACGGCCGGCCGGTGTAGCTTCCGGCATATACCCCTGATTAAGAGAAATATTTACTTCTCCCTGCTTTAAGGGCTGAGCAGGCAGGTTAAGGGCCGGGTTATAAATTTGCCGGCTACAAGACGAAAGTCCTATAGAAAAACACAGAGAAAAGGCGATTAACTTAGCGGCTGGAATACATTTCATTATAATATTTTTGATAGTCACCTGAGGTAACGCTTTGCAACCATTCCTCATTGTCCAGGTACCAGTCAATGGTTTCCGAAAGGCCTTCCTCAAAGGTTACGGAAGGTTCCCAGCCTAATTCATTTTTGATCTTATTGGCATCAATGGCATATCTTCGGTCATGGCCGGGGCGGTCTTTTACGTAGGTGATCAGTTTTTCAGATTCACCGGCCGGGCGGCCCAGCTTTTCATCCATCTGTTTGATGAGGATTTTGATCAGATCAATGTTCTGCCACTCGTTAAAGCCGCCAATGTTGTAAGTCTCTCCTTCCTTCCCCTGGTGGAACACAAGGTCAATGGCGCGGGCGTGATCGATCACATACAGCCAGTCGCGGGTGTATTTTCCGTCACCGTATACCGGCAAAGACTTGTTATTCTTAATATTATGAATGAATAGGGGTATCAGTTTCTCAGGAAACTGGTTAGGCCCGTAATTATTGGAACAATTGGTTACTACATGTGGCAAACCATAGGTTTCACCGTAAGCCCGCACAAAATGATCAGAACTGGCTTTGGATGCTGAATAGGGCGAATTGGGGTCATAAGCGGTGGTTTCTTCAAAAAGCCCGGTGCTGCCCAGGGTGCCATACACCTCATCCGTACTGATGTGGTAAAATAACTTTCCTTCAAAATTGTCTTTCCAGGTATCACGGAAGGCATTCAGCAGGTTTACCGTTCCAATAACATTGGTACGCACAAAAGCCAAAGGATCAGTGATAGAACGATCTACATGTGATTCTGCTGCCAGGTGAATGACACTGTCAAACTGATACTCGGCAAAGAGCTTATCCATCTGCCCGGCTTCCACAATATCTGCTTTCAGGAAATGATAGTTATCCGCTGATTCAATGTCTTTTAAATTCTCAAGATTACCGGCATAAGTCAGTGTATCCAGGTTATATATCTGGTATTCAGGATACTTATTTACAAATAAGCGAACTACATGTGAACCAATAAAGCCGGCACCTCCGGTAATAAGTATCTTCTTCTGATCAGACATTTTTACGATTTTGTACAAAGAAACTAAAAGTATGATATTCTTCCCTGCCGGGAACGTGCCTTTAACGAAACCTTGGGAGGAATTAATACTTTATTTAGATAAGCTTAATTAATCCTTGCGAAGCGTATTCTCCCATCGCCAGGCATCACCCATAGCATCTTCCAGAGTTTTTTGGGTGTTCCAGCCCAACACTTTATTGGCTTTGGCGGTATCTGCATACACCGCCTCCACATCACCTTCCCTGCGGGGAGCTATAGTGTAAGGTATTTCTATGCCGGTAGCCTTTTTAAAGGCTTTGATCATATCTAAAACTGAAACCCCTACTCCCATTCCCAGGTTATACACTTCAAAACTTTCAGCCTTCCCATCCATCAGGCGTTGCACGGCCGAAATATGTGCTCTGGCCACATCCACCACGTGAATATAGTCGCGCACGCAGCTTCCGTCCGGAGTATTGTAGTCATCTCCAAATACCTTTAACTCCTTACGCACACCAAAAGCTGTTTCGGTGATATACGGCACCAGGTGATGGGGTTCGCCATCCTGGAATTCTCCGATAAGAGCACTTTCATGCGCACCGATAGGGTTAAAATACCGCAAGGAGATCACTTTCAGATCCGATGCGGCAGCCGTATCCTTTAAAATATCTTCTCCTATTTTTTTAGTGTTTCCATAGGGTGAAACAGCCGGTTGTATGGGCGCATTCTCTGTAACAGGAAGTTGATCCGGGTTACCATACACCGTGCAGGATGAAGAAAAAACCACCGCATATACCTCATGCGCCAGCATTGTACGCAATAAGTTGGTGGTGGAAAGCAGGTTGTTATGGTAATACTTTAACGGATCGGAAACCGATTCATTAACCAGCAAAAAGGCCGCAAAGTGAATAACCCCGTCAATATCATATCTGGTGAAAAGGTCTTCCAGTTCTTCAATATGACACATCTCTACCTGCTCAAAGGCTATCTCCTTTCCTGCTATTTGTTCAATGCGTCCTTTAACTTCAATATCGGATTCAGAGAGATTATCAATCACCAATGGCTCATAACCGGCCTGAATAAGCTCAACTACGGTGTGTGAACCAATGTACCCTAAACCTCCTGTCACCAATATTTTACCCATCCGTTTAGTTTTTTGTTTTGCGGATATAACCTTCAAAATCTTTATGCTCCTTTTTATAAAGCTCATCTTCAGGTAAGGACCGGAAATAATCGTAGGTAATTTTCAAGCCTTCGGCACGATTTACTTTGGGTTCCCACTTCAGTATTTCCCTGGCCTTGTCAATATTGGGTTGCCTTTGGGTAGGGTCATCTTTTGGCAGTGGTTCATAGATCACTTTTTGAGCTGTACCGGTAAGTTTAATGATCTCTTCCGCAAAATCACCTATGGTTATTTCATCGGGGTTACCTACGTTTACAGGATAAGGATAATCGCTCATCAATAAGCGAAAAATACCTTCTATAAGATCGTCTACATAACAGAATGAGCGGGTTTGCGAACCATCACCGAATACCGTAAGGTCTTCACCGCGCAAAGCCTGCCCGATAAAGGCCGGTAGAACACGCCCGTCATTCAGTCTCATACGTGGGCCATAGGTATTAAATATCCGTACAATACGGGTTTCCAAACCGTGATAGGTATGATAAGCCATAGTCATAGCTTCCTGAAAGCGCTTGGCTTCATCATACACACCCCTTGGCCCCACAGGATTTACGTTGCCCCAGTATTCTTCGGTTTGCGGATGAACGGTAGGGTCACCATACACTTCTGAAGTAGAAGCCACCAGAATACGCGCTCCTTTAGCCATGGCCAAACCCAGGCAATTGTGCGTTCCCAATGATCCTACTTTAAGGGTTTGAATAGGAATTTTCAGGTAATCAATAGGACTGGCCGGGGAGGCAAAATGCAGAATGTAATCCAACTCGCCAGGAATATGGATGAAGTTGGAAACATCATGCTCGTAAAACTCAAACTCCTTCAGCTTGAAAAGATGCTCAATATTTTTCAGATCCCCGGTAATGAGGTTATCCATACCTACCACCTGAAAGCCTTCACGTATAAAACGATCGCACAGGTGAGATCCTAAAAAACCGGCTGCACCGGTTACCAGCACTCTTTTCATTTAATTTTCACTTTTTACACCAATACAATGGTATTCAATACCCAGCTCTTTCATTTGAGCACGCTCAAAAATATTGCGACCATCAAATATTATTGGTGTCTTTAATTTATTCTTCAGTTCTTCAAAATCAGGAATACGGAACTCTGCCCACTCCGTTACCACCAGCAGCGCTTCCGCATTGCTAAGTGCTTCAAACTCGTCTTTAGCATACCTGATCTTATCGCCTATCATATGCCTGGCCTCTTCCATAGCTACCGGATCATAAGCAGTAACGGTAGCTCCGGCTTCAACAAGCTGGTTAATAATAACCACAGAAGGTGCTTCGCGCATATCATCCGTATTAGGCTTAAAGGAAAGGCCCCACATAGCAAAGTGTTTACCTTTAAGATCGCCAAAGCGCTTTTTTACTTTATTGAAAAGTACGGATTTCTGATCTTCATTTACATCTTCCACTGATTGAAGGATGCGCATTTCGTGTCCGTTCTCACGGGAGGTACGGATCAGTGCTTTCACATCTTTGGGAAAGCAGCTGCCCCCGTAGCCAATACCCGGGTATATAAATTTATTCCCAATACGGGGATCGGTACCAATCCCTTTGCGCACCAGGTTTACATCTGCTCCCATGATCTCACACAAGTTGGCAATATCATTCATAAAGCTGATCTTGGTGGCTAGCATGGCATTGGCTGCGTACTTGGTCATTTCAGCTGAAGGCACATCCATAAATATTACCGGGTGCCCGTTAAGGGTAAAGGGATGGTACAGTTTATCCAATACGCTTTTGGCCCGGTCACTCTCCACTCCAACCACAATACGGTCTGGCTTCATAAAATCATTTACCGCTGCTCCTTCCTTCAGAAATTCAGGGTTGGAGGCTACGTCAAAAGGAATTTCTTTATTTCTTTTGGACAGGGCCTGGTTGATCTCATTTTTCACCTTGGCGGCCGTACCTACCGGCACGGTGCTCTTGGTTACGATTACACCGTAATCGTTCATATTCTCACCAATTTCGCGGGCTACGGCCAATACGTACTGAAGGTCCGCACTGCCGTCTTCCCCCGGAGGGGTGCCTACGGCAATAAAGGCCACATCCGCACCTGGAATGCTTTCCGGTAAGCTGGTACTGAACTGTAAACGGCCTTTCTGGAAGTTCCGGTGTACGAGTTTTTCAAGACCCGGTTCGTAGATCGGTAAAATACCTTTTTTAAGGTTTTCTATTTTGTTGGTGTCTACGTCCACGCACACCACATCAATACCTACATCGGCAAGACAGGTGCCGGTAACCAGGCCTACATAGCCCGTTCCTACAACTACAATTTTCATGAATTCTTAATTATTCAGGTAGTCTAAAACGCTACTTGTTATATACTTTAATTGCTCCTCATCCATTTCGCTATGCATGGGTAGTGACATTACTGCTTCTACCAACCTTTCGGTTACGGGGAAATGTCCCTTACCATAACGATCATCCTTATAAGCCTCCTGCATATGCAGCGCCACAGGATAATAGATCATGGCGGGAATATCTTTACTATTTAAATAATCAATCAAACCCTCACGGTCCACATCTATCAACTGTAAAGTATACTGGTGGAAAACGTGGGTGGATTTACCGGATATTACCGGTACTTTTAAATTAGGATGACCAGCAAAGGCACTATTATAATAATCTGCCGCACTTCTGCGGGCCGCATTATAGGTATCCAGATACGGTAATTTTTTGCGAAGCACCGCAGCCTGAATACTATCCAGCCTGGAGTTCACGCCTACTTCATCGTGGTAATAGCGTTTGGACTGACCGTGATTAGCTACTTTTCTCAGCTGGGCAGCCAGATCATCATCATTGGTAAATATGGCTCCACCATCACCATAACATCCTAAGTTTTTACTTGGGAAAAAAGAAGTAGCTCCGATATGTCCAATGGTTCCCGCTTTGGCTTTGGTTCCATTAGTAAAGGTATACTCTGCACCAATAGCCTGGGCGGTGTCTTCAATTACATAAAGATCATGCTCCTTTGCAATGTCCATTATAGCATCCATATCCGAGCATTGTCCGAATAAGTGCACGGGCACTATAGCTTTGGTTTTAGGTGTAATGGCCGCTTTAACCTGCTCCGGATCCAGACAGAAGGTATCTTCATCCACATCAACTAAAACCGGGGTAAGTTTAAGGAGCGCAATAACTTCTGCCGTAGCCACATAGGTAAAAGTAGCCGTAATTACTTCATCACCGGGCTGAAGATCAAGGGCCATCATGGCTACCTGTAGTGCATCTGTACCGTTGGCACAGGGAATTACATGCTTTACATCCAGATAATCTTCCAGTTCTTTTTGAAACTCTTTTACCTCTGGTCCGTTTATATAAGCAGACGATCGTATTACATCTAAAACAGCCTTATCCACTTCATCCTGGATCTTCTCATACTGGCTGATCAGATCGACCATTTGCAATTTTTTCATACTTATTTTCATTATTAATGGACAAATATAGGCATAGGTATATTATTGAAAATTTAAATTTGCCTAATTATGAGATCATCACGTTTTAAAAAAGCCCTCTTATTAGCACTGCTGATAATATGGGGTTCTGTTCAGGCACAGGATCAAAAAGACAAACCTAATAAAGTAGTACTGATAAGCCCCAGTGCTGCCATTCAATTTCCGGGAGGAGATCTGGAGAAGACCTTTGGCACTAACTATACGATAGGCATAGGTGCGGGTTTAAAAACCAACGCCAACTGGATAATTGATGCTAACTTCCATTTTATGTTTGGCCGTGAGGTAAAGAATCGAGAAGAAATATTAAGCCCAATATTAAGCAGCAGGAGTAATATATTTAACCAAACCGGTAATTACGCACAGGTAAATGTATTTGAGCGGGGTTTATACGGGGTTTTAGAGGGCACGCGGGTATTTAGTGGTTTAGGTGGTGTGAATGCCAATTCCGGTCCAACCCTTAGCCTGGGGGTGGGCTATATATACCACTGGATAGAGTTTGACAACCTGGGCAATGACACCCCACAGATACTGGATGAATACGCCAAGGGCTACGACCAATTACGAGGTGGCTTTTTGCTAAAACAATCCATTGGGTATCTGTTCTTATCCAAACGCAGGCGGATCAATTTCAAATTATCTTTTGAGGTACTGGAAGCCTTTACACAGAACCTGCGTGGAATAAATTACAGCACCGGAAAAAATGATACAGAAACACATTTGGATCTGATATATGGTATCCGCCTGAACTGGTATTTACCGATCTATCAAAAATCATCTGACCAATTTTATTACGATTAATGAATTGGTTGTACAATCTTTTCATCCGTACCTACGGCACCGGCATCCGTGCCGCTTCTCTACGAAATATCAAGGCACGGAAATGGATTGAAGGCCGCGAAAACTGGCGCACCAAATTACGGGAGCTACTCCCACGCAGTGAACAGTCAAAAATATGGTTTCATGCCGCCTCACTGGGTGAAGCTGAACAGGGTTTACCGGTAATACAGGCGGTAAAGAAGGCGTATCCCCATCATTTTATATTACTTACTTTTTTCTCACCTAGCGGTTATGAACATTTTGCAGATAACCCGGCTGTAGACGGTGTTTTTTATTTACCCCTGGACACCCCGGCCCAGGCTGCGGATTTTGTTTCTATTTTAAAACCAGAAGCAGCGGTATTTATTAAGTATGAGATATGGCTTAATTATTTTAAAGCCCTTGAAAAGCAGAACGTCCCCGTGGTATTGGCTCCGGCTATTTTCAGGCCGGATCAGTTTTACTTTAAAGCACCGTTCCGTTCCGTTTTTTTACCCTTGCTTAAACGATTACACTGTATACTGGTGCAAAATGAAGCGTCATTAAAACTTTTGCAAAGCAAAGGCTTCTCAAATGTTAAAATATGCGGAGACACACGGGTAGACCGGGTTCTGGAACTGGCACACTCACCCTTTGAGGATGTACTTACAGCACGTTTTGTTAAAGGCTGTACTACTTTAATAGCCGGAAGCTCATGGCCGGAAGAAGAAGAAATACTGGCCCGGCTGCTACCCAAGTTTCCAGAACTACGCCTTATTCTTGCTCCTCATGACATTAGTCCCGCACACCTTAAGGCTATTGAACAAACCTTTGGTGCCGCTAATTGTGAATGGTATTCATCCGGAAAACTTACAGGAAACCGCCAGGTTTTAGTGGTAGATACCATTGGTAAATTATCACGCCTGTACCGCTATGGTCAAATAGCATTTGTGGGTGGTGGATTTGGCAAAGGCGTGCACAGCACTATTGAAGCCGCAGCCTATGGTATGCCCGTTTTGTTTGGCCCAAAGCACCAGAATTTTATGGAACCTAAGGACATGATAGGTCATGGCTTTGGCTTTGAGGTTCACAATTTTGAAGATGTGTACCGCACAGTAAAGCTTCTGCTTTCGCAACCGGAAAAGCGGTGTCAGCTTTCGCAACAGGCAATAGCATATCTGAGCTCCTGCTCAGGAGCTGTAGATAAGATATTCTCGGTCTTAAAAATGATTATCCGAAAAACTACGCCTTTTTAAGCGTTTTAATCTCTCTTTTCAAAGTTTTGATATGGTCTTCCAGTTCTTTGACCCGTTTATCTTTTTCTTCAATAACGGTATCAAAAATCCGGCTGACTTTCTCAATATCTGATGAGCGGCCACGATGCCGTGTTTTATAAGCCTCCAGATTTTCGCTTACATCAACCGGAGAAGATTTCCAGTCCCAGTCTTCAAAGAAGTGATCGGGATGGACTTCCAAAAGTTTACAGAATTTTAAAAAGAGATTGATCTGTATAGAATCCTTATTCAGGATTTTGTGCAGATTCTGTTCGGTGGTATCGAGTTCAGAAGCAAAATCCTTCTTACTCATACTCCGACTCTCAATGAGAAATCTAAGTTTGTTTCCAATATGCATAATGACGGACCAGGCATTAAAAAATAAATAAACTATCCATTTTGGATATTTTATCTTTTTAGTTTAGCTTTGTTGCTAAAAGGTAAAAAAATATATACAGTGCATATACTTATTTAAGATAAGCGGCTTTTATGGCCCGCTATCATTACAATAAGCTACATTATACACTATGAAAAATTTGATTTTTTGCACTACTCTAAAACTAAAGTTCAATGAAACTAAATCTTCACGATACAGCTAACATTGCTCGAACCATAAAAGAAATAACACAACGCAATCTACAGCTCACGGAAGAGTATGAAGCGTTAAAGATGGCTAACAAAGAGGTATTATCTAAAACAAGTACGGACCAGGTATTTTAATTTAGTATAACTCTTTAAGGGAGGGTTGCCATCTGCCTTATTTAAAAAAGAACAGTTTAAACTGTTCTTTTTTTCACTACTCATAAAGTGAACCTATTCAAAGCTAAGGTTTTTTTAATTGAATTCCACGGATCTCACTAAGGTTAGGGCCGGTTTAGCATTCCAGACGATCTTTCATTAAAGAAACTGTGATGACTATTTTATGAGAATCTACGGGTTTCTTGCCCTGATGGTTTCGCCCTCCTCATTCTTCACGCTGAAAGCACCTTTATCAATATAAAGCATCTCACCTCGTTTCCCGTATTTAATTCCGGCATCTATCAGGTACATCCGGCCCCCGTATAATTCTTGAATGTGTGAGTGGGTGGTATGCCCGCTAATCAGGTAGTTTGCTCCATATTGCTCCAGTATGGTGTCCAACTGCTGGTTATAGTCAGGGTCTTTCAAAAAACCCCGGTACCACAGCACACCCATTGGACCTAAAAGCCAATCATCGCTTTTCGTTTTGCTCTCTTTGCGCAAAGCCAGCCGGTAAAGCGTATTCATAGAGTCAATGTGAGGAACCCTATCTGCCACAGCCCGGGAAATGCCGGCATGCACAAATAAGCAATCATTGATCTTAAGCATAACGGGTTTGGAAAGCAGCCACCTCCCTAAAAGGGTACTCGGAGCATAAAGATCAGTATAGGGCATTTGCAATATTTCAGCTGTCTTCAGGTATTTATGATTGGTAAAAGCCAGGTCGCTTTTCCATACCATCAGTTCATGATTTCCCCAAACAAAATGCACTTTACCTCCACTTTCTGCAGCTTGTATCTCCAACTTATAGATTAACCACAAGCACTCAGTAACAGCATGCCCCCGGTCAAACACATCACCCAACACCACCAAATGCCCGGCTTTAAAAGCCCAGTTTAACTCCTCATTTATTATACCGTTGGCTTGCAGCAGCTCTATAAACACATCGTATTGCCCATGTATATCGCTTACTACGGCTATGTGCTCCACATTTTCATAAACAGCAGGTTCTGTAACAGGCTCAGCAGGTGCGCTATTAATAATCTGTTTCTTTGCTTCTCCCGCTACCACACCCAGGCTGTACCATTGCCCATCTTCTTCTACCACATAAGGGCCATCATCAAAACATGAGCTTACGCCTAACTTGTGGTGAAAAACTTCCACTTCAGCTAATCCATACGAGTTAAAGCGGAAAGAAATACAGCCGGTAAAAACACAAATGACCAATGCCGTTATTAAACTCAAAACCAGTCCCAATCGCCCTTTTCTCTTCATCCAATTACAGGTCAAATGATAATTCAAGGCCCAGGATATTCTGTTTATCCGGCCGCTTTATATTCACTTCGCGGTCTGCGCGTATAAATGTTTTCAGATCAATATCCTTGTTCAGTTTCCATTCCAAACCAAAAGTATAACGGTGGTTCCGTACTTCATTTTTAAGATTCAGGCGATAAAAATTCTCATATTCTACATAGGGATCAACCGGCCGGGAAAGATTATAAGACAGTTCAAACTGATTCCGGAGAAGGGTTTTATTCTCACCGGTATAATCAACGGTGGTATTCTGAAACCTGAAACGGTATTTTGGCCTTAAATTCCATTCTTTAAGATTCCATTCCACATTGGCGTCCAGTG